AAAAAACATTGAAATCGGCTCACTATCTGATTGTTTTTTCAATTTTATATAACACAGTCCGACATGAAAATGTTCTCAGAGATAAGACTAGCCATTTCTAAGAGATCTTGGAGCACTAAATTTGTAAAATTAAAAACTTGTATATTTGAATTTTAATAAAATAAGGCGAACAGCAAAATCCGCTAAAAACGGCTAAAAAATCGGCTGCCGGCTAAATCGAAGTTTTTCCGGCTGTTTGCTGTCGCAACCGGCTAAATCTAGCCGGAAAACGGCTAAAATGGCGACACTGGTTTCGGCTGTCCCATAGTGTAATTTGAGTTTAACTTTTTAGACAGGTTGCCATTCTCTTCAAGCACCTCAAAAATATCTTAATTGTTGCATAGTATTTTAAGCACAACACTTCTTTTTAACTATATTCGACTTTTCAAACAGGTGGAACCCCTCCTAAAGGCAATTAAAAAATAAAGTTTATTCAAAACCATTTCGATTGATACCTATATTGGGGTAATTTATTTAACTTATTAGATAATTGGATTTTGATTTTCTTATATACATATGGCAAAACTAAAACCATATTACACATGTACAGGGCAAGCCTTTTCATTTGACGCCTACCTCCTTTTTGGAAATCGATCGAGATACAGGTTTTATGACTTGGTGTTAAATATTTAATGTAAACATCCGCGGAAGCGATTATTTGAATTTGACACCTCGAACTCGATTAAGAAATTGAAGAAAAAAAAAATAAAAATATATTTTGGAACATCGAATTTGCCCCACAGAATTTCGAATCGAATAATCGAATGGTTGGGCAATGTTCGAAATTCAAAAAAAATGAAAATTTAATTTCATACCCCCCACTAACCTTCCCTAGGGTGCCCTAAAAGAACGCGCATGTGAATCACAATGTGGTAGAGCACTTAACAATATCCAGTTCAAAGCGTGGTTTTGCTACGCATCGTACCGATTTCAGCATTGAGATCCAGTTCAGGCTCATCTGCAGGGTCTACACTGTGGTTGGCAGTGAAATTTATGGCGATGCTCTCCGTATCACTCATCTTGTTTAATTCCACATCACCGTCAACCAGCTTAACGCTGAAGCTATCCAAAGTGGTGGGATTCGTCGTAATATTTGGTGATTTACGTTCAGCCAAAATTTCGTCAGTAAGGGATTCGACAAGCTCACGTTCACCCTTGGTGTGCATGTGCTTGGCGCCGCCGTAGCTCAAGCTGGGCTTTTGCAATGAACCCGAAGCTTCAGGATTTTCGAACATGTGCTAGAGCGTTCGAGTAAAATCATGCCTGCCAAATACATTTTTTTTGCTGCGTTCGATAAATTTGCAGCAATTAAACTGCTACCGAAACGAAGCACCGATTTTTTTGATACATTATTAATTTATTCCACTCAATTTAGTCAAGATTGCGTTGACAAATGCATCCGCTGCAGTCAACTCTTTTGTTTTAACCTCATGGGTGTTCATGTTGGTCTTATTTTTCCAGGAAAATAACACCAGCAGAAATTATGCCAAGCAACCTCCTGTAATTAAGAAAGAATTACATTCAAACATAGTTATATGATACAATATTTTACACATACTCACCTAACCTTCAGATTACACAACCGCCGCGTGCCAGAAAAAGTTAGTCTGTTCCTTTGAACTTCGGACTAAAACCTGTGGAACTGTCAAACTACAATTTTACGCTCTCAAATGAGAGTAAAAGGAGAACAGATGCAGAAGTGCATAGGAACGCAAAAAGCACTATTTCCTGTAAAAACGTCAGACGGTTTGTTTACACGTCATTGGTACTACACTGATTTGGCTGAAATATCACTAAATAATTATTAAAATCTATACATATTCAAATATTTCGTTGTTTACTTCCATTTTTAAACAAATGTAAGGTTCTTTGCTTTCACCGCTTTCTGTTTTTGTTTGCACATGTAAATCAGCTGATCGTTTGACACTTTTCATGAACTTACAGGAAAAAAATCTCCGGACTAAATCCTGTAACTTCTGACTAGGAACAGTTGCTCAGTTACTCTCTCAAATGTGTTCCCACTTACAGGTTTTATGTCAATAGGAACGACTTCCTGTAAGTTCTGACTAAATCCTGTAAACCGGACTGCTATTGGAACAAACTAAGTAATTGAAAAGAAATATGAATTCGCCGTGTATGTATACGGATTTCCATTGAATTCATTCTGACATTTTTTGCAATGAAAAAATGTACATATGTATGTATACGCCTTCCATTGTATAAATTCGCCTTGAATGGCTTCTGACATTTGTACCAATGTACATACATACACACATTCCACAAAGTGAACGTAGTAAGGTAGCTCGAATTAGTGAACCATTTCGACATTCAGTTCACTCGCTAGTTGTAATAAAATAAATACTATTATAACTGCTTAAAGATGCATTGTCATAAGCAAATATCAATGCATTAATTTTTTATAAGTCTATCACACATTTTGATGTAAATTTCATAAGCAAACATGATATTTATGTATTTTATAACCAAACGGTTCTGCAATTATACTTATGAATTCTGCTGCATATGAGCTACCCTGTTTTAGCCGAGTATCGCCTACAGCGGCATCCAAATTTTTTTTTGGGTGGCAGGCCAGTTGTAGGGTTGCGAGAATGGCTAAAAACGATTAATACGTATTTCGACAGCTTCATTCAATGAAATTAGCAGTTCAAGTTATTCATAAAAATAATTCATTGTATGGAGAAAACCACATTGGCACTACAAGGTCTAACTATTTAAAAGAAAAATTCATTCAAAACTAAATCGTGGGTATAAATAATTTTAATCTTGTCATGCATCCCTGTATGATGGAATGCGTGGCATGTGGGCGATCCACTTGTCATTTTAATGGATCGCAACTCAGCCATTATACCCTATTCACATGCGGAAGTTTATGAAATACAATTAGTAACCACATAATGCCACATTCACACTTGCAGAATCTTGTTTTTATCCCATAAACAAAAATTTGTCATGCCAAATGCATTAAGAATTTCCGCCTAAATTACTCGCCACCCAACAATATTTAAATAAATGGTTTCCGATTCGAACAGATCGTAAAAATATACCCATTTATTGCAGCAACTATGACTCGCTTCTCCCAATTGCGCAAAAAAGCGGCACAACACGCACATCGCTATCCTCAATCGTGTCGCTTATGCAACGGCAAACACCCGATACGACTGTGTCCCGTCTACAGGGCAAAAAATCCTGAGGAGCGACTTCGCGAGGCAATACTTGGGAAGTATTGTATCAACTGCCTCGCAATGACCCATGGAGCGGAAAACTGCACTAGTGCGGAGAGATGCCGCCGGTGTCACGACAAGCAACACACCACCATTCATCTGGACCCCATCGATAGGAGACCCTGGAGTCAACAGGTGGACGAAGAAGAAGACGAATTCGATGTGATCTCCATCTATGCATCCGAATCCGGAACGGAAACTCGGTCTTTCCGTCCGGAACTGGAAACTGGAGACGGTATTGAATCCGGAGCGGAGACTAGGACTATCTGCCCGAACAATGACAGGGGAGCGGAAACTCGGACTTTCCAACCTCCGCTTCATCACACGACTCAAAGAGTGGCTGAATTGGAAACTAGGTCTTTCCGATCACGCCAGCATAAGCGACGAACCCGCGGAGCGGAAACCGGGTCTTTCCGCCCGCACCAACTAACCCCGGGCCCAACTAAACATCGTGGCCAGGGAGGAATAGTGGCACGATCTCGCCAACTCAGAGCACCGAACAACTTCCGAATGGGCCTTGCCGGCGCCGTGAGACAAACCGAGGTGCTACGACCTATGGTGTCGATTTCACCCACGGCAATCATCAAAGTCGAGGCAGGAGGAAGACTTCACCTTGTTCGGGAACTGATAGATGCTTGTACACCATCCAGCGTAATATCGAGCGACCTTTCGAGGGAGCTGGGCTTAAAGGTAACCGGGTGGGGGAGGCAAAGAGGCTGTCTACTGAGTATTCGAGGGAAGCATAGGGTAAATAAGCAGGTGACAACCCATGCACACATAATAAAAAACTACCGACGAATATCACCGCCTAAAAATGTCGACCCGGCCATAGCTGCGACATATGCGCACATTCGGCTCGCCCACCCGAACTTCTTCAGGTCCTCTCCGATTCGGATCGTCCTCGGCGCGGATGTCTACGCCGACATCATCATGCCCAGTGTTCTGCCGACACCCTTTGGACCTCTGTTGGCCCAAAGCATAATCTTTGGATACGTGCTTTTGGGCGTCTGCCGCACGTAGTCGAAAAATTACAAGCCACATTTTATTTACCTTTTTTATTGTACAAACATGAACTTCGAATTTTATTTATGTTTTTTTTTTGTAATAAAAGTGCATCTGAAAATATCCACGTATCTTTCACTTAATGCCTTTACCTCTCTTCCCCTCAATCAGCAGTATAGGTGGAAACGGCCATGGAAACGATACAGCGGCAACTGATGAATATGGCTCATCGCAGTTTTCTCCAGAATAATTTCACATCATTTTTTTAGTTTAATCTCATATACAGAGGTGAGCTGGTAGCTGCTGCATAAATGTTAGATGTTGCTTGCCGCAAGGGGGCCGGCATGTTTAGGCCGTCAGCCTAAAGATTTTCATTATTTTTGTGACCCGCCCTAGTATTGGCATATAGGCGTATGCACACACATATACATATGCACACCAATTATTATTAACTCGTGCCGTTAACTGACATTTCCCGCCGGATAATAACCTATCGTTAAGTTTCCCCTTAATATCGGTTGTTGTCCGGCGGTCCGATTTAAAATCCCGCAAATCCTTAAGATCACTTCGGTTCAGAAGATCAACGCGAGCAGACCAGCAGCTACCAGGCCACTGTCACTAAGGTAACACCATTGTTATTTGTACCAATATTTATTGAAAACTGACTCTGAATATTTAAATTAAACAATTACTAAAAAACAAATATTTCGCTTTGGTTTTTTTTATTTCCATCCACTATCACCTGCACCGGAGCGTTATTCCCGATACGCCCCCCCGTGCAAGTTCACACCTTAAAAATATTTAAATTGTTGCATAGTATTTTAAGTACAACACTTCTTTAACTAAATTCGACTTTTCAAACCGGTGGCAACCCTCCCATATGTAATTAAAAAAGAAAGTTTATTCAAAACCATTTCGATTGAAACCCATATTGGAGTAATCTATTTAACTTATTATTTAAATAATTTGATTTTGATTTTCTTACATATGGAACAAAACTAAAACCATGTTACACATCTAATAATAATAATAATAATCCCAACGGTTTTTACCCAGGGATTACAGGGCAAGCCTTTTCATTTGACACCTACCCCCTTTTTGAAAATCCAACGAACGATACAGATTTTATGACGGTGTTAAATATTTAACGCAAACATCTCCGAACTCGATTAAGAAGTTTCACTTCAAAAATTTTGCGAAATTCGAAAAAATTCGAATTAAATCGAATTTGCACCACCGAATTTCGAATCGAATAATCGAATGGTTGGGCAATGTTCGAAATTCGGAAAAAATCGAATTTTAACCCCCCACTACCCATCCCTATTCTGTTGGTCTAATAAAGTCCTCCCATATTAATATTTCTTTAATATCTATAATGTACACACATCGGTCTTTTACAATTTTATTATATACATAGAATTAAGCTTGAGAACTGCGAAATCGAAGCACATACTGTTCATTCGGCAGGGGAAAAACAGTTGATTTGTAAGTAGGCCATTTCCAAACTAAGTGCTATATTTTGTCCCCCCTTTTTAATTTTTTTATGGTGGTAAAAACGAAAAATCAAAAACAGCATTATACTTCATATAAAAATATTTCTCCCCGCTCAGGTTATTCGATAGTCACCCTGAAAAATAATAATAAAAATAAACAATGAAAAAAGAAGTAACTGTTTGTAAACGGCTGCCTTAACTTTTATTGTTATTTTCTATTTTCGCCGGAAAAATTTTATCAACATAAGCGTGGCTTTCGTATTATAATAATCTCCCTCCGAAATTTCCTGAATGTAATTTTTTTATTTCCTTGTTTATATGTTTTTATTAAATAAGGCTCTTTAAAAAAAAAAAAATTTGCGAAATATTTCCAGAATGTCGCTTTTAGGCGAAAAAGGATTTTTTTATTTAAAATACTTATTTCTCCAAAAGTGCTCAAATGGCATAAAGCATCGTTCACTCAAAATCGGTACGCATGAAATGGGTTATATCTTTTTAATAGGTTTTCAGAAAATAATATTTAATATGTTAGAATAAAGAGAAAACATTCCGTTATAGATACATGTTAGCGAGAGTTTCATATTTTGCTTGGATAAATAAATAAGAGACAATTTCTTTGATAATGATAAAAATTATCTGTACACCCGTTCAAGAGACTTGTGTAGTCAACTTGCTCTACTAAACTATATTTAGTTTATGTTTTTCCACGGCTCGCACATCTCTACTAATTTTGTTTTGAATAAATACCATGTATTTTTCGATTTGACTTAAATAGGTCATATTCGTAAATTGATGACTTCCAGAACTTTATTTACATCATTGGCTTCAAACCGATTTAAAGTTACCTGTGAATAATTATTTTTCATAAAAACCCACCAACACTTTACGAAAGGTCCAAAGTAAATGATACAATGAAAT